ACCATGACGCTGAATGTTTGTTGCCTGTGCATTGCAGGCAGTCAGCATCAGGTTAAGTTCATGCAATAATTATTATCATCAACATCAACATTTTAGGCTAATGCATAAAGTGATCTTCTCCAAAAAAATTATCTGACGTAATGAGAAATTAATCGCATAGGAATTATACTTAGGTGTTAATAAACTTGAAACTTGGATAACAACAACAGCAAGAAGAACAACAAAACAATGAAAGAACGTTTAGACTATGACAGAAAAACTATGAAAACATAAATTAAATGATTCATATAATACCATCTGCTAACAAAAAACAGGATAGCAAATAAATAACTCTATTGATGCGTTGTTCTTCAATGAGTACAAAATGAAAACTGGAAATAACATAGAATCATCAACAGTATAAAAACGTTTGATTGGAACAGACCACATTGTCAATAAACAGTAGTAAGTGTTAAGAATAGTGTTAATCAAATAATATTAGTTAATTTTATTTGAAAAAAACAAACAAAAGTGTTAAAGGTGTAAGCACTTTCATGATATTTCTTGAACTGTTAAAAAATAATCTGCATATTTTTGCAAAAAATTTAAATCAGCCCACAAATATGCACAGTGTATTAATGCAATGACTTAGAATAAATGAAATGAAATGAATTCTATCAAACTGGGATTCCCTTTAAAATATGGTATTTAATTTGTTTACAACCAGCTTGATTGCATTAGTTAATTAATGAACAAGATTAGCAGCACTAATGAACTAGAGCCCTGCGCGGTTGGAATTTTCAAAAACCGCACAAAACCGCAACATTTGAGACAGCAACCGCACAAAAACGCAACATTTGAAACAGCAACCGCACAAAACCGCATCATTTGAAACCGCAACCGCACCGCAACCGCACCGCAAGAGCTGAAAAACAACATTAATGCTTTTATTGACATTATAAATCACAACTATCTACATCCAAATCACTGTTACTCTTAATAAATAACATTTTGTCAATTTTGTATGGATTTAAACTGGACCGTCTCTTTTTCAGCGTATAATTGAGAGATGATCCTACCCTTTCTGACGAAACACCCGTAAATAAAATAACTACTTCTTTCAAAGTAAACAGGAAAAAGAAAATGGTTGCTTCAACGGCTTTCAAAAATATTAAGATTTTTCAAAGACACTATACTATATATAAAAATTATTACAATGATAATGCAATTTTTAAAATGTTATGGACGAACAAAAATATTTAACAATTGATAAAAAAAACCGCGCCGCGGAAAAACCGCACATTTCAAAACCGCAACCGCGTAAAACCACATGATTTATGCACCGCAACCGCAAAAACCGCGGTTGCGGTGCGGTTTTTGCGATTTAAACCGCGACAACCGCAAACCGCGCAGGGCTCTATAATGAACACAAAGACAAATATTTGATGAATAAAATCTCAGTAAGTGAGCAAATCAGTTAAAGATTAAAAATTGTAAATATGAAATGGTAAAAGAAAATTCTTGAAAAAAAATCTACATCGATCAGAATTTAAAGTGACAAAAACTCACATGGAATGAACTGGATTTGAGTGAATTTTTAGCAAAATTATCAAACTTTCTATCATTCTTTGGTGATGCAGTTATAAAGTTCTGACTACGAACCTTTGAACAGATAGGAGGTTGGTGTAGATTATATCAATTAATATGGATAAGTATATATAAGATCATCAGGTGTCTCATTATTACACTTAAACTTGAGCTGTATTAAAACAATGCAAGCAAAATCATTAGAAAACCCGCGAAAAGCAGCAGGGTTATTATTATCGGATGTACAAGTACATCCCTATTAGAGTAGATTAAAGATGAGTAAAATAATATTGGAGGACATATAAACATCAAACTTTTCCGGTTTATTTAAATATTTATTTTTGACCATTATCAATGTTCACCTTATTTTATTCATTAAGTTTAATAATTAAGATACTCTAATTGAATAGCTCAGCCTTCAAACAACCAAACCAATGAGCACTAGGATCAAATTGACTCCATGTAAAATAAATAAAAATGGCTCTGGGAAAACATTTAGAACTTTTAAAAGAAGAGTAATTAATTAGGTAAACTAAATTCAAACCAGCAAAATTAAAATGCCATCAAATTTACATTATTATAAACAAGAGTTTAGCTCAGTTTTAGCTGCTAGGAGATAATTATTCAGTCATTAAAAGTCTTTGAACTTGAATTTTTGTATAACAAAAATGTTGATTAAGGTATTTAAAACAATCCAAGTGCTAGAACAAGTCACTCATATCATTCAAAGTTTGTTAAGAAAGTATAAATTGAAAATAAAATAAATTTAATTTGAAACAAAACAACAAAGCCAAAAAAAACTTTTAAATATTTACAATCTCTATTACCAACCAACAAACAATCAATGATTGAACATCAGAAAACAAAAATCCAATGTGAAACATGAAACTAACGTGATTAAAAAAATTTAACCACAAACAACCATTTAAAATTAAACCTGAACAAATCCATAAAAAAAAATTCCCCATTTTAATTAAAAGTATTAACCAGAACTAAACATTAAAAATTTGTATAAAAGAAACTTTTTAAAAAGCATTTCCCACCAATATTTAAAAAAAAATTTTGAACTAACGGGGTAGTTGAGTGAAGCCTTTGAAGAAAGAGAAGCACAGACAGGCTGGTGGTGGTGAAGATCCGATGGCTTCGTTAGTTTGCTGTGCAGGCTGGTTGTCATGTCCAAACAACCATTTTCCAGCTGTACAACGTTTATTACTACGTAATATTACTTCTAAATGATACTACGTTACCACAGGTCACTACATGCGGTACTTCAGGTGACTATATGCTGCTGTAGGCTACTACATGCTACCAAATGCCTTCATAAAGATCATAATACAAAACATTATTTAACAGCATTCTCCTTTTTTTAGCGTATGCCAGCAAATTTAGTTTGAACATTACAACTTATACCACTGAAACATCCACATAATCATACATTTTAGATTAAACAGCAGTAATAAACCAACGCTGGTTAATTCACAAAATCAACAGCTAATTATCATTTAATTTACATAAAAATAAAATAGAACAACTAATTAATTAAAAAATATTATGAAGTAAATCATAAAACTGAAACACGTGTTCTGAAACACGAAGCCTAATGTTCACGCTAAAAAACTCATATGAGACTTCTATGAAACAGACTTCATTAATTAATGTATACATCTGGTGACTCATGGTATTGACTGATAGGAGGAAGAACCATTCATGTGAAATGAATGTGTCTTGCTGCTCAATGGATCCACACAAATATATTAATATATATTGCTCATGCATGCAACTTAAAACATACATGGGCAAATTCATACCACACTCAAGCAGTGTCTATGAAATGTTTCTGAATTAAAGAAAGAAAATATTAGGTATTCAAATAATTAAGTATTCAGTTGAAAAGTAATCAAAGCGTGGTTAAAATTTGTTAAAAATTAAACCCAGAAAAATTTTTAAATATAAAAAGAAGAATTTATTCGAAAGAAGAGCAAAAACCAACATCAAGTGTGCTGCAACATTCAACTCCAACACAAAGAAAGAGATAAACATCATTAGATGCAGGCAACTCAGGAGACTACCAACCACAGTCCGAAAGATACTTTTGTGTATTTAAGAGTTTTATGAGAGTTCTTTAAAAAGGATTTAATGGTATTTTATGGGCTCTCCGCAATGCAAGCACCAAAAAGTTTCAAACATTGGAAACTTAAGTGCAGCATGAATGTTTCATCAAGCAGCAGTTATAAAATTTGGCAAGAGAAAGAGAAATTGGAGGAGAGTACATAATTAAACAAAAATAGCTTAACTACTACTATACATTAAAAGTATTTTCATTTTCATGTCATGATGTTTGCTTCAGTTGTTGCAGAATAATTATTAATTGATGATCAGAGGAAGCTGAATCACTTAAATCTACCTTACAACCATGCTTTGATGTGTGCTTAACAACAATACTTAACACACATAATTAATAACTCACTTTTTTCAATTGCCCACTCAGTGTTCAACATTAAACATATTAATATAAACAAACACACACAAACCACACGCACTGCACACTGACACACACATACATGTATAAATTCCTATAATGTTACTATAAAATGAATATTTGTAAAGCGCATGTTAAAAATTTCTCAAAAGCGCCCTTCTGACAAAAATAAACACAAAGCAGCAACAAATTATCATGAAACAATTTGAATAAAAAATTAAATATTTCGAAAACTGTAAACACGTTTCTAACTGACCGTCGGAACGATGACAGCTCTCTTGTCCAAGTTACTCTTCTTTGCATAAACATAGTTGGCTGGAATGTTGCTGTTGTTGGTAGAGTTATCTGTAGGAACATCATAACTGTTGCTGTGGTTTGCCACGTTCGCATTATTATTCAAACTGTTGCTGTTGTAACTATTTAAGGTGCTATTATTATTAGTGACATTATTATTGATGGCGTTGGTGTTTTTGTTGTTGTTGATGTTAGGAGGTTTACTGCTGCTGATGGATGATGTATGTGACTTTGATGACAAGCAGTTACTGTTTACGTTGTTGTTGCTGCTGCTGCTGCTGTGAACTGTTGACTGAACGTGGTGCTGGTAGAAAATATTTAGATAAATATTAGTTTATATTAAGAATGGCGTTCAGTTGCATTTTAGTTTAAAAAATGTTTGTGGTAAATCAAAATAATCAAACTGAACAATATAAAAGTGAATAATAATAAAAATAAATAAAAAATAAAATTGGAATGGTATTTTCCTGAAATGAACTGACTTTGCTAATATTATTACAAGTAGACCAAGATTCTTCGGCATTATTATTAAATATAATATTATTATTATTAATGTTATTATTATTGATGTTATTGTTTTTGTTGTGGTTGATGTTGTTATTATTAACTGTAATGTTGTTATTGATGACATTATTATCGTTGTCGATGTTGATGTTGCGACATGAGGAATATGAAGATGCAGACAAGGCAGATGATGAAATGTTGACGGGAGAGGATAGTTGAGTGTGGAAGGCCTTGTTCGAGCCTCGGTGCAGTGAATTCATTGGAGCTTGATAATTTGTGGAAGAAAGTGATAATGACGAAGATGATGTGGGCGCCTGCCGACTTGTTAAAATCTTCTGACAAGCTGAATTTAAAAAAAAATTAAAACACGTTTGAATAATAATTAGGCAGGTTGAAATGATGAATATTAATCAATAAACCCATCATCAATCAGTTTAATATTTTTTTTTAATTAAACCTCATGTCTCTTTCATGCCAGTTAATATTGCTGTACACATGTTGAATAACTAATTAAATGATAATTTCTAAAATATACAGTTTCAAAAACACGTTATAGAATTAACTTAATTAATTCATCGAAACTAATTGCACACATGATAACAAATACAATAGAAGTCGGTTAATTGGACCACATCAAGACGTGGTCAGTGACCCAATTAAGCAACTGTCCTCTTTAACTGGCTTTAAACCAAAAACATTGTGCAATAATATTCCTAATTCAGTAGGCAATTAAGTCAAGCATACAATTTAAAAGCGCTTTATTAAACTAACTGAATCTAATTGAAACTATTTTCAAAGCAAAAATCATAAAAAAAACACATTTATTCAAATGTGTATTGTGCATATAATGTACATGCATGTAAAGAATGTTCCAATCTTAATAATTTGTGATATGTTTGTGACGGAGAAAAATTGAAATTAAAATTAGAAATTAAAATTGCTATTGATCAATGGCACATAATTCACACCATTCACCAATTGAACACGTGCACAAATAAATAGAAAGCATTCACCAAGTACAGACAAAGTTCACAGTAACTAACTAAGCAAACATGTCGGTGCCAAGCAGATGTGCTCATATAAATGCATATGTAGGCATATGTTTATATATATATATATATATATATATATATATATATTTATTTATTTATATCGGTACAAATATGCACAGACACACTCATATAAAAAAGATTGCATTGCAGGTAAACTCAAGGAGACAGTTTGATAACTTCATCAAAACAGATAATATTAAAAATGCCTTTGCATTTATCCACACACACACACACACACACACACACACACACACACACACACACACACACACACACACACACACACACACACACACACACACGCTCACGCACACATACACTCGACAGAGATAGCTGAAATTTGAATACTGAGAAAAAATCATAATTAATGGAGCAGTTAAAGAAAACAGCAACTTTCACCAGTGCCCAGTAATTTGTTGTTAGTAATTAATGTAGTAACAAATTAATTTGCCATATGTGACGGAAAATTTATCTATTCATGTATTAATTTTTAAGCATCTATATTAAATCGTTTGGTGGGAGACTGAGTTATCTTGTCATATTTCTTAAAGAAAGTTTCAGCTATTAACAATCATATGCATGCTCAATAAATGTTAAAAACTAATTAATTCAGCATGATAATTGAGCAAATTAAAACTGTGTACCTAAATTATTTGATCGGACTGAATCCATTAAACAACAGAGAGAAAATACAGACGGCAAGGAATTGTACTTTGAGCAAATGGATAATTTATTCATAGGTTAAACGTGATATTATACAAACAAAAAAGTACACGTTTTGTATTGAAAAGAAGATTTTATATTTTAAATAACTGAAATAAAAATCTAACAATCTTATAATATATGTGCTGACTGAACAAATCTGTCCGTCGTATGTATTTACATGGGAGTCATCCAGTTTCAAATCTTCAATAATTTAGATGAAGTTATACATACACACAAGCATACACACATAGATTGTATATATTTATATAAAGGCATATACTTGTGCATATCAGCATACATACATATTCTGAAATAATAAAGCCACCAAACCATCACCAAACCACCAGCAAACTTTTATTTAAACAGAAATAGAGTGTAACTATGACGAGTTTTAGTAAAACCAAAATAATAACTTGTCTTATGTTGTCACATATTTAGCGTATGCAGTTGTGTTTTCAATTAAACTGAACATGAATATCTACATTAGATAAATTAAAATTAAACTGGCATGAAGAAGAAAATGGAAATGAAATTATGTAAAAGCAAAAAGGAAATATAATTTACGTAATGTAACGGTAATGCCACTTCAAACTAATTTAAACTAAGAAAAAATATATAAGACGGCAAACAACAGATGCAAAATGGTAAAATTCAAGAAGAAAATTACGAAATAGTTAGATTACGCATTAAAGAGTCCTTCAAAAAGTAAGAGCCAGCAGTAAAGCTTAATAATATCTGCAAAGGTGACAAAACAACAACAACACACGTTTAGACGACATTTTCCCCGAGATCGGAGGTTGCCGTTTGGCTACCTATGATGAAACCGAAATACCCCTCGACGCCATTCCATCATAAGTAATTTATTTGGGTAATTTTTACGCAGGACGCCCTTCCTTACGCAACCACAGTTATAAGCGGTGGGCCTAGCCTTTGATGATCCAACATCACTCACAAGGCAGTGAGGGTCAGTTTAATGTCATAACCAGGACATTGTCATAACCAGGACATAAAAGGTGACAAAAACCCATGAAAACTATATCATAAACCATTATATGTTTTAGATGTACGCATCTCACGCTCCCTATAAATATAAGCAACACAAAATCTTAATGTGCAATGCACATGTACTGTACTCTACATCTACACTTATGTCCAGTTAAATATTACTGTTGTAATCCTTGAACGCTCGTTACTACCAACACCGATGTTATAACTTCAAATAACTCTATATTTCCAACACCAGTGTTGTAGCTTCCAATCCAACGATCGTCAAGATGTCGTTATTCCGTAGATTCAAGATTTCCGATAGATGAACACAACTGCTTCAAACGCAAACTTTGTTGAACGTTTATATGAATGCCAACAGTAATAGAGACACTAAACTAATCCAAGTAACAACATAAATCACATTTACGACTTCGCATCAAATCTCGCTGGAAGCCTCTCCTAAACCTTACAAATATAGTGAAGATAACAAAGATAACGAATAATCAAGATAAAAAATAATACAGCTCAATTTGACCATTGCAGCGGTTATAACATTACTATGCATGGCAAGGCAAACCAACATTAACATTTGTGTGTTTGTGTGCGTGTGTTCGTGTGTGTCTGTGCGTATATTCGTGTGTGACTAACAAGATGCTAGTGTAACAAAATTTATTCTCAAAGAACTTTACATTAACATGCTTTCTTCAACATCATTAAAAAAAATTAACATTTGTTGGCACAAAGGTATTAACCTTTGTGCCAATAATGTCACTGTATCGTTTTCATCTTAATTTTGAATAAATTGAGTAAATAAAACAGGTAAAACTTTGAATTTATTTGCCTAACGTTAAATAAGCGTGATAATTTATTTTCATGCAGGTGCAACTGAGGTTACACTTATATTTAATAAAAAACCTTTTCATTTATAAATACATTTGCTAGCAATAACAGTGCTGTATGTAAAGAAAGTGATGAAAAAAGATAGACGCCAATTCATATGCTGCAAAATGTACTTCAACTAAATCTGCAGTTCTTGTTTACTCATCCAGACTTAATTACACGCCTATTTATGACACCAACACAATGAACACAAGATTTAAAGTATTCTGCTTAATGATTGCAAACATTAGGTTTTATCAATGTTTGCAAATGTTACTTTATCCCTAATCTCATATTACATTTTTAAAAGTAATTTTAAAAATTTTACACAGCTTATTTTAAAACCAGAAACTCTGCCTTAACTTAAATGTGAAATAATCTATTTGAAAACAAGCCAAAATTTATAACACGTTATTATTAGTTATATTAGCATCAGTTTTATTTAACATGTTTCCTATGCAAGTCAATTTGTTAATTATATATGTATAGATTGTATATTTAATTATTAAATATTTATTTAATAACCTAAGTTCTACATGATTTTATATAAAAATGTTCCCTATGGACTAATAATTTTCACACACATAATCTATCGCTAAGCTTGCAATGGTTTGCCCAAGCTGATTTCTTCTTCTTTTAATAATAATAATAATTTCATTTATTTGGCGCCCAATGCATAGCGTCAGAGGCGCTTGGTTGCTGTTGGCGAAAGTTCTAGATTCCTGCTGGTTTCATTTTAAATAAATAAACAACTTGAATAAATGATCACCCATTAACTGTGGTAGGGATGATAAAAAAATAAAAATGTTTATTTATAATAAAGAAATGTTTAAAGCCAGGCAACATATGACAACAGAGCACCAAGTACAGACCTTCATGAAAGACCAACTCCACATTGAAGCCGTTCTCAGAGCAGACTTCAAAGTAGTGACAATTTTTCAAATCATTTGCCATCTTCAGTCCCTTCGCTTCTGAAATGATTCTCGGATTGCTGTTCGAGACTCCATCTCGTGAGGCAATGAGGAATATTGGGACATCTATCATGTGTCGATAGAGTCCCATCTTGGCATAGTACGTGTAAATTGTGTTGAAGCTCGTCTCATTGGTCACATTGTATACAAACACAACTGCGTCAACCCACTGAGAAAACTGAAACAAAATAAGCAAATATCATTGAACAAACTACTAAATAAAAACAACAAAAATGAGAAAATATATTGTTATAATACTCGCTGTCGTAACCGATTTACGATGCGACGGGTTCAAATCTTCGATTGAATAAAATACTCCAAACAGTTATTAGTTATTAAACTTTATTTACAGAAGAAATCAACTAATCGTTTATTTCTAGCAAATTCAAATTAACGCAACAATTAACTTTTAAATTGTTTAAATCTATCGCTATGACAACGTCAACAAACAAATCAAATATCGCTTTAAATAATTCACCGAATCGCTATTCATGAAATCACAAAATCACGAATTTCACTAATCGCTAATCTCCTTGCGACGTGCGCCTATATACTCTTCGCAAGCGTCGTTTCTAGATTCTTCTAGATGGTCCGATTCCAGCATATTCTAGAATGCTCCAGTCACTAGAACATTCTAGAATACGCTAGAATCTAGTGCATTCGGTAGCACGGTTATAACATTACCCCCTTCTTGGTTCTGTTCGTCCCGAACAGCTTTCGTTCCGGTGTCCGCATGGTACGGAGCCAGTCTATCCAAATGAACGATCTTCATTCTTGCTCTCGGCTTCCGATATTCCTGAATACGGTAGACGACGTCATTCAAGCGGGTGATGACTTGATAAGGTCCTTCCCACCCTCGCTGGAGCTTTGGAGAACGTCCTTTCTTTCGCTGTGGGTTGTACAGCCAAACTAACTCGTCGACAGCAAAACCGCCACTGCTTCCTTTCAAGTCGTAGTCTTTCAAGTTATCTGGTTTTGGCCGCCTCCGTGTTTTTTATAATTTTAAGGCGTAAGTAACGGTGGATATGGTTTAATCGCTGTCGAAGATTATCCACGTATTCTGTAAAATCAGCAATCAACGCCTCGGCTTTTAGACGGTCTTCTTGATACAAATTGAGTTCATCCAGTAGATTTTTGGTAAGTTCTTTGAGTCTACCTTTGTCAGTTGGTAGAACCTTTTCCTGTTGCTCCATATCTAATGATTTCACCAAAATTATTGATTGCCAATTACCTATTTCCTCGCCTTTTTTAATTTTAATAGTGTGTTTAGTGGTATTCATTATTCTGACAGGAATAAGACCATTTTTGTTCGCTTCTACCAGACATTTTCCAATGACCGCGTTCTGTACATTTGTCGTTGAGGTTGGCTCCATCAAATAGAACTGGTGGCCCCTTGGATCGCAATTCAACTTGCCCCATACGATGTTTTCAGATGATTGAGGTAGTTCTATGTCACAATCGACTGTCACTCGAATGCATTTTTCGTCGCTATCCCCATTATCATTTCTGTATTTCTCCATCTAAGAATGCGTTTTTGTAAGTCAATTTTGAACCCATATTTTGTCAGAAAGTCGACACCTATTATGCATTCGTCGATGATATCAGCGACTAAGAATGAACCTTCGAATAACAAGTCGCCTAGCTGAACAGTACGGAGAATCTTTCCATAGACTGGTGCTGTTCCTCCGGTAGCTGTTCGAAGGATGTATTTGTTAGAAGTCTCTTTCTTCAGATTGGGTACCAAATCAGATCTTAAAATCGATTTTGTTGCTCAGGTGTCGACCGTAATTACACATTCTCGTTGATCAACTTTTCCGTTCAGCCATAGGTCGTTAAGATTTCGATGTAGTCTGGAAACGTTAATTACGGTACTGGGGGCGTCAATTCTACTAGCCAACCTCTGCCCCACAAAGTTGGCTCTTAGTAGCTTTTCCGCCCCTTCGTTAGAAAGGGGCGATCGTGATACAGGATCATCTTCTCTTCTTTTGCGCCATCTTGTCGCACAATTTCGGCAGTAGTTATCTTTTAGGCGGTGTTTACAATCACGACGTAGATGGCCTTTTTCACCACAAATCCATCATTGGGGTACACCATGCTGTTGTGGTTCGCGTTTCACAACCACCTTCTGGCAAGAGCATTCTTCATGTACTTGGCGTAGACGTACGTCACTTTTTGATGCTTGCTTTGCCGATTCAAAAGTGAGACTGTGCGCAACGGCATCCTTGAGTTTTCATTTATCTGACAAGAGAAGGGATTGCTTGAGTTCCGAATCACGAAGGGCTATGATAAACGTATCCAGGGCAGTTTCGTCTCTATGCTCGGGGTCTGATGTCGGATACGACAGCAATGTCAACCGTTCGATATCTTGTGCCAGCTGCTGAATGTATTCACCAGATCGTTGCGTTCTGTTTCTAAGTTGAGACCGATAAATCTGCTTCATGTGTTCTTCACCATAACGTAAATCCAACGCGCTAACCAGAACTTCATAGTTGAAGTGGTTCTCCGCCGGAATCGTCTGAAGGACCTCTGCTGCTGAACCTCGCAGGGCCAGTCTCAGTGCTGTTGCTCGTTCTTTTCCGTTACAACAGTTGCCGCTGCTTCGAACTGGGTTTTATAAACGTTCCAGGACATCTCTCTGTCAAATGCTGGTACCTTCAAAGTTCTTCCGGATGCGTGATCTAACGGCATGGCCATTTTTTTTTGGATTGCTTCAATTCTCGCTTCAATTTGTCTATCTTGTGATCTACCTTAACGGTCTGACGATCAAGTTTCTGCTCGATCATTTCTATTCTTGCTGACTGTTCTTCAATCTGTTCTGCCACTTCCAATTTTACGTTTTTTAGCTGGTCCTTGATCTGTTTTAACTCCTCTGTCTGTCGTTCGGACTGTTCCTTGATCTGTTGTTTTAACTCTTCTGTCTGTCGTTCGGACTGTCGTTCGGACTGTTCTTTGATCTGTTTTAACTCCTCTGTCTGTCGTTTGGACTGTCGTTCGGACTGTTCTTTGATCTGTTTTAACTCCTCTGTCTGTCGTTCGGACTGTCGTTCGGACTGTTCTTTGATCTGTTTTAAATCCTCTGTCTGTCGTTCGGACTGTTCCTTGATCTGTTGTTTTATTTCAGTTGACATACTAAGCAGAAGTTCCATCATTTTAGCGGTTGTAAACGTGCCTGTGCTAATTTCATTGTCTTCGTCAGCACCATCAAACTTGAATTCGTCTGGGTTCTTACCTTCATCAATGAGAGCTTCTCTCAGACGTGCTACTAGTACTTCTTTGTTGCCACTTGTGACAAGGCTTCGTTTCTGTAGTTCTTCTCGTAGCTGAACTACGTTCAAACCACACAGTTTTGACATCGTGTTCTTTTTCTGAGTAGTAATTCGCTGGTCGAAGATCCCACTTCTGACACCAATGTTATAATACTCGCTGTCGTAACCGATTTACAATGCGACGGGTTCAAATCTTCGATTGAATAAAATACTCCAAACAGTTATTAGTTATTAAACTTTATTTACAGAAGAAATCAACTAATCGTTTATTTCTAGCAAATTCAAATTAACGCAACAATTAACTTTTAAATTGTTTAAAATCTATCGCTATGACAACGTCAACAAACAAATCAAATATCGCTTTAAATAATTCACCGAATCGCTATTCACGAAATCACAAAATCACGAATTTCACTAATCGCTAATCTCCTTGCGACGTGCGCTTATATACTCTTCGCAAGCGTCGTTTCTAGATTCTTCTAGATGGTACGATTCCAGCATATTCTAGAATGCTCCAGTCACTAGAACATTCTAGAATAGGCTAGAATCTAGTGCGTTCGGTAGCACGGTTATAACAATATTGTGACGTAGTAAACTGAAAAAACTTTGAAAATAATGTTGAATGTTGGAGGGTACCTGCATGTCTGGAGGGCCACCCTCCTCTCTTATCAAAAGCAAGTAACTTCTTCCATCAACAAATATTTCCTTCTTGAAACGACCACCTACGTTTTTAATAAAAAAAATCAATTTAATTTATTAGAACAACAAATAAAAAAATATAAAAAAATAATATAAATTAAAATAACACAAAAATGTCTAGTTAAATAACACTACATGAAACGGAAAAAACAGCAGCTAAAAAGCATAATGAATGACTGATTAACTTTGTTAACTCCTTATACCACAACTCCCACCTTCAAAAGTCTCTTCATTCAAGTAGGAGCCGGTGAGATAGTGATGAACAAGAGGGGACTTGCCACTGTTGAACGTTCCAACTATACCCTGTATTTCATTTTTCATATGCAAACATTTGTGGTGAATACAATTTCTATAGGAATTAATTAAAAAGAGCATGATCGGCCTTTTAAAATGGTAATTAGTAATAAATCTACATTCAAAAAGATGAGTAAATACTCTACTTTTTGAATGTAATGTAGAAAATACTCAATTCAAACAGTCAACAATTTTTAAAAATAATAGCATTGAAAAAATGAGTTCGGTTTTTTCACACAATAACAAAATGTTGTCAATTCAAAACAATGACTAAAACGATCAGTGAAGCAATGGAAATTTGATTTTTCAAAGTTTTCAAATTTTGTAAGCAAAATCGATTATGGCTGGACAAAATTTTACTGAGTAAAATTTAAAACTTGATTCCACTCAAAATAAATGAACAGATGTATGGGAACAATTAAAATCAGGTGCATCCAATCAATACATGATAAAGTACAGTACCACAGAAACAAACAAAAACACATGTGTTTCATCTAAAAACTTCACATGTGAATAATCTGATTACACTTTCCAACGCTGAGCCAGCATTATGCTTGTGATCAATCAGCATGTGTGAAAGGAAGCAATAAAACTGAATGATATATTGATAAATCTATTTGTGTAATTTGCAAACATAACCAAATTAAAAGCACATGCTAGGTATGACTAGTAAAGATAAAAAATTAGCCTCAAACTAAATTACGCCATGTAAATGTTAAAAATTATAGAAAAACTTAATCAAAATAACTATTAAGATTTTGAAACTAATCTATTAAAAATTAAGCCTAGAATGATTGATTAATGACAGTGCAGTGAAGATGAATGATCAGTTTTAGCAATAAAAACCATATCCCAGATTTTCATGACATAGCATAAAAACACTTTAAAAAATTCATTTTGAAAAATTCAAAATATACACAAATAATCATAATATAACCATATAATGCTGATGATATGAAAGCTTGAAAGCTTGTTTAATAGATTGATGAATGAAGCAATAGAAATGAAAAGAACAAACAAACTAACCAATTTAAGATCACACACACATCTACTTAATGTCCATTCCTGACTGTTCACAAAGGCATCTGGAATAATATCATTCATTGATAGCACATGAGTAAATGTACAAAGTTAAATGAGACAGAACTTAAAAATTTGTCAGTAAGTTAAAAATAGGGAACATTCAACAAAATGAGAACAAATTTGAAAGAAACAGAAAGCTAGAGCTCTTTGAAAACAAAATGTCTTTTAATGTCCTTTTATACAATAGAAACAAGGCTCATACGTTAATTTGGCTAAAAATAAATGAACAAGATAAAATTAAGAGCTGTTCTGACAGAAACTGTTAATTGTCCAATTAAATTGAGACATCTAATTATCTGAGTGGGCTAGCTGAAAAAAAGAACCAAAAAATGAATAACTGTAATTAACATAAGGTAGGTTGCAAGAATCTAAAAAGATGAAAATTCAATGAGGAAAAATTTTAAACAAATGATTAGACAAAATAAAATTACTCTAGTTAAAAAAAACAAAGTAAATTCTATTTATTCCTCCTTGAAATTCAAGTAAGAAAATTTAATTAATAGACTGCCATAAAAAATTAATAAAAATACAACAGAAATGTTACTAAAAGTGTAAAATAAAATGTACAAACATAACAGAAAAAAACTTACACACACACACACACACACACACAAATTTTTGAACATCTACTTGTCAAAATTCATTGATCATACAGCAACAGGTAATGTGAGGTAGCAAGTTGACAACTAATGAGCATGTGTGTGTATGTGTGTTCGTGCGTGTGTGTGTTCGTGCGTGTGTATCAGTGTATGCTACAACATTAACGGTGCATCAGTAGATTAACATAACTGTAACAAAACAACCAATTCATTAGTTATGCTGATCTGCTACATGCTTCAAAATAACATAAAATAATTATAAATGCACTGCACCTAATGACAAGCAATAGTAATTGCTTACATTACACACACACAGATATATATATATATATATATATATATATATATATATATATATATATATATATATATATATATATATATATCTTTAAAAACTGGCCTACGACTGATCATCGGTGACATTGTGTTGTGACATTTTGTTGAAATAAAGTTACACAACTTATATAATTATATAATTCAAGTAATCAATACCATGTTTGTCCAGAACAACAAAACATCCTGAATAATTTATTCAGCATACAGTTAAAATTATTTTATAAAATCTTTGCTCCATGATAATTGCTGCTCCTTCAAAGATCATTCAAACATGGACACTTATGGAGAAATCATCACCACATCTACAAGTCTGTCATTTATGGCCTTGCACAAACAAAACGTGAGAAATATATGCAGTTGAGGATTTAGTTTTCTGAGTTTCTCTATGACAACTTTGTTCAATTAAATAACGGTTGAAATTTAATCACAAATGCATGTGGTCATGAATTGTTTTTTGAACATGTCTATGCAAGCTTACAGTGAATTTATGTTAGACTTCATAAATACTTTTCAAAATTTATAATGATAGTCAACTAAAGAATGATGCAACCTTTAATTGTATCCTAATTTTCTAACATCAACACCTTCCCGCTGAGATGAATATTTCACAACAAAATGTTGGGAAAGTTAGTAGCAATGACAAAACTAACATTTAAAAGATTCAATGAAGTATCCACAGGAGAAAAACATTTGATTCATCATCCTTCCTGGTAATAATGAATAATGTAAACAATGTACAAAGAAATATCAGTAAATAGCGATGCTGTCAATAAACATGTAGCAGAATATATTATGCAAATGATACAACCAAACATTCAGTGCGTTGCACTTCATGCAATAAATGACATTTTGAAACAAACATATCCTATACACAATACTTTTGATATAACAGCCTTTTACAAAAATTTATGGAGAAAATGATGATGATGGTATGTGACAAAACAACTTTTACAGTAGTTTTACAACTTTTACAATCTTTTATTTCATTGTGACGCATTTTATGGCCATTTGAAATTAATGCAAAAAACGTAGTTAAATAAAAAGCTTATAAAGATAATATGCTTTCAGCTTAAATTTAAAAAATCAGTTTCTGTCTGACAAAGTTCAGATCAGTGAGGATAGATTAGATAAGGAACTTATTTGAGGTCAATTAGTCTAAGGAATTAGTAAATGCTATCCAAAATGTACTTTCTCTCAACCACGTTTTTTCTATTCACGCAATGCTTACCAAAAAATATTAGAAATATAATATTTGTAAGTAATAATAATAATGAAACATTACAAATGATATTATATATTTATATCAAATAATCTTTTTTTCATTAATTTTGTAACTGTAGCTATGTTTAGTATATCTTCTTTCTCGTGCCTCATCCTTTCTGGACATTGGGGACCATCGACCTTCACAAAACCCGATCTTTAACACTCTGTGGCAGTTGAAATGTGGTGGTATTTAAAAAGTGACACCAGAACTTCAGGAATGTTATTTGTTGTTGATCACGATCTCTTCTCCCTGCAATCTTTCCAGTAGTTGTTAGATTTTCCATTTCTTCTTTCCAAATGATGTGACTGAAAAACTTTAACTCCTCCCCATCGGATTATCTGTAGTAATTTCCTCATTTCATAACTGGATTGTTTTAATACATCATCATTGGGGGTATGAGAGGTCCAACAAATTTTCATAATTCTTCTCAAAAACCACATCTCAACAGCATCAATCCGTTTTTCCATTTCTTTAGAAATTGTTAAGGAATTTAAGAGTTTAGAATATAGTTTAGTATATATAGACAAATTGGGTAAAAACTTTATATTTTTTATTTCTTCATATACATACATTGTAAATAAAAAAGTACTGACACCATTTTCAAAGTTTCAAAATTTTAAAACAGTAAAGATAAACAAAATGATTTTGTAAGAACAATGAATCTGAAAAGCAATTAGTTTTGCATAGGCGCGCTTATGTGTGTGCATTTGAGTGTGTGTGTGCGTGCATGCATGCGTGCGTGCGTGTGTGTGTGTGTGTGTGGTGTGTGTTTTTTTGTGTAAAGAGGGCCTCGTGAAATAAATAACGTAAAAAAAAGCATTTTTGTTTTTGTTTTTGCTCAAACAGCTGACCAATTTCAATAATGACGCACAGACTAACAGCACAACATAACGAAACAACAACATAACATAGCGGTGCAACAACATAAGGAAAGTAAAACATAATGTGAAATACAATAACTATATAACGTAGGATAAAACCATGATGAAGATACATATAACAAAAATATAAGAACATGACGGCAACCATTTAAAGCTTACAGAATGAAAAATATGTATACTCCAAAGAAAAATAGTCATGACAAGAATATAAAAAACAAGACTGGATTAAGCCAGGATCTATGCCAAGATCATAAATCCAAATAGAAATAATTTGGTATAGAAATTGATAGCAATAAAACAATAAACATGCAGTGGCTAGCAAAAGGTAAAAGATTGAAATTAGCGAAAAGGTAATATCTGGAGTATTCGCATTTTTTAATAATGTATTTTAAGGAAAAAATCAAACAAAAAGCATATTTATATTAAAGAAGTAAATTAAGTACACTACAAAATTGTTTCAACAAAATTATCATTAAGTGGTGATATAAACATTTTTACAAACATATCTTATTTAAATGAGTAATTTAAGAAAAAAAAACTCTAAATGAATAATTTAACAAAAACTCGATTTTAGAATGAATTAAACAAACAGAAAATTAAAAATTTAATTTCATAAATTGCGTGAGAACATTCAGCAATCACAATGCATACAAACACAATGGACAAACACACTTACATACTTTCATTATGAAAAAGGCACACACACTCACACATACTTTTATTATGAAAAGAGCAAACACATTCATACAAACATCAGCGAGCAAGCATCCACACGCACACGCGCATACATACACGCGCATACATACACATCCACACGCACACATACATACACACACATTCACACGCAAGCCCACATCCAAACATATACCCATATTATCAAAGATGAATTGTTAAAGAAAGCAACATCATTCACCTGGGTCTGCATATTTGACCTAGAGTAATTTTTTGCCTTCCAAACAAATCATTGGAACTTGATAAATGACATTTTAAAAACATATTTGCATGCTATATATATACATGTATATACAAAAATATATAACTGAAATATATACATATTGATGTGTCTATGAATAAAACTACATAATTACACAAAAACGAATCTGCAAGAATAAGAATATCCCAAGCAACATAGTTTAGAAAAAAAATGTTTAACCAATCAAAATTAAACTGTATACTCAGAAAAGTATTTCCTTAAATTTAATTGAGAATGACAGCTAGCACATGGCCCAGTAGATATTCATTTGATGAATATTTTCAAGTGTCAAATCTATTTCAGTTTATAAAACTTTCAAAAATAAATTTACCAACATAGAGAATGGTGAGAGGTGTGCAAATTATCATTCCAACAGGGTATATAGGGCTTTCCAGTAGAGATTGCCTTACAATTTCTGTCAATGCTGATTGTGCTAACATTTTTTTCATAAATTTTTTTGTTTTTTCTTATTTTTTTCTTCTTCTTGATAAAGTTAATGTCGTCGGCACATTTGCATACGCCTCCAACCAGATTGTTGAGCAGTTTCAAATCCATCATGGAACAAGCTTTGCAGAGGTTAGAACCAGTTGAGAACTCATGTTCTATGGGGTTATTCTTCTTCAAAGTAGCATGCATGTTATTTACAGTAGCAGACATTTTCTTAGTGACGTCATGCACGCTGTTGCAGTCTTTCAGATAAATTTTTTTTTTAGTACCAACAACCCTTCTGCTACTTCCAACACCTGTGATAGTAGACATGGATGGAAAATAAAATGAAGGGTGGAATGAATGTTCCTTTCCAATGTAACAATTCTGAGCCACTCCCACAGAAATGTCAGAACAACTATTTCGAGCATCAACTTGCATGTTAGTTGATGTTGATTGACTGCTGTCCACTGAAAATGATGCAGAAGCGTCAAAACAATTGCTACTCTCTTCATATGTTTTATTGACAACATCATAGTCACTGCTTTTTTTCAACTTATTATTACTTGTATTAACATCACAAACACTATCATTGTCAGCGTTGTTTCCAATGTTGTGACCATTTAAATATTTAGAGCCCCGAATATAAAAAAGTGTTGAATCATTAGTAGAGACAAAGGCAATGGCAGAATTCCTGTTGAATTCGACATCAAGAACTTCACTGCCAGCCCCCTCTCCAGTGGATAGACAACTTGAAAATCGAGTGAGAGACAGACAACATGAAGACAGTTTGGCAGCTAAATGTGGATGGTTCTCCTTGTTCTCACTAACATCCAGATCACCATAACTGTCTCGTAGTGTCTTCTTTACTTTTAAAATTTTCACAGGAGTATGCTCAGGAGAGCAGGAAAAAGCCTTTGCCTTCCTTTTGGTTAGAAAACTGAAAGACTTTTTAAAAGACTTACAATTAGGCCTGAATGAATAAAAAGTGTTCTTTACACTAGATTCAGCCATAATTTTTTATCCTAGCAAACTTTTAGAAGAGTTTTTAAATGTTCATGACAATTAATGCAGCAAATATCACCAATTAACAATTTTTTTAATCTATCTTCATATAATTTTTTTGGTATAATATTATAAAATACCACAATTGAATTATGAAAATTCAAAACATGTATAAAATTGAATAATTTTAATAAATCTCAAACAAAGGATTGTCAAGCAAAGAATATAACAAAGCAAAACAAAACAAAGTATGTATCATATTCAATGAATACAGAAATAGAATGTACAAATGAAAGTGTTAAGTTAAATTATAATTATACACCGGTGTGCAATATTAGAAAAGTTAAAATAGTAAATAACATTATAATGTACAATTGTGGACAGATATATATTTATATAACCAATTATATGATCCATAGTAAACATTACTTACATTTATGCTTGTTTGTATGAATATGAATATTCATCAAAAATCATTAATAATCATTAATTTGTAATTAATTAGTAATTAATTAATTATTAATTAACAAATTATTCATTAATTAGTAATAATTAATGTGTTTTGTATAGTATTTGTGTATGATATAATTATAATAATTTATATAATAAACATTAATTATGTGTTTGCACAAACCTTCAATAGAAATAATGTGATCTCTTAACTGCTGTTGAATAGCCAGTATGTTTATGTCGTCAATGAGTTCGTGAATGGCATAAATGTTCGGATGAACGCTTTCAAATCGCTGAATCTCATCTCGAACGGCCACAGAAATGGCAGTTGGCGACATTGTGAGGCCGCATTTGTTCGTCATCATTTTCAAACCAATTAATCAATTAAATATTTATTAACGAACAGAAAAAAAATTAACACAGAAAAAATTTATTAGATATAAAAAAATAAATTATTTTTCTTTTAATTTTGAATAACTCAGCACAGCACAACACTGGTAGGTAAGATAAGTATAGAACAAGCAGTCAGCAATTAATATTAATGAAGAATTAAAAAAAATGAGCTGCAAAGACTTATGGACCAAACAAAAAATAAAAAATAATTAATTAAAAACTGAAATCTCAGGGAAGAAGTTGAATGGATGGACGAAACTTAAATATTTAATCTTTAAATTAAAATAAAAAGTCACTTTATCTCAAACATCACAACACAACAACAAATATATATATATTAAAAAACTAAAACGTTGCCATTGTTTTATTTATTGAAAATTAATCACAGACGACCGTATGTGCGTCTGTTTGTTTACGTAGGCTTTTCTTTTTAATCAAATAAGTTTTATGGTTATTTTGAAAGTAAAACTTAGAAATTATGGTAAACTAAATTTAACATGTAATTTAAAATTTTTTTAAAATAATACAAAAAAACATAATTTTATTTAAAAATTGAAAAAATTGTCATAATTTTAAAAATTAAAAAATATATTATAAATTGACAAATTATCTTTGATTTAATTGTCTATGTTTAAAATAATATCTACTGCGAATTGATAGTAAAAATGCAGTTATTTACTTTTTCCCTTTAAACATTTTTCTACCGTTTTTGTCCGATGTGTTTTGTCTTTAATTCTTAATTGTTACATTAATTAATTATTATAAAACTGAAAATTTGAAAAAAAAATTATTTTAGCTCAAACTTTGAATTTTTAACACCAAAGAAAAGAACAAACTGGCAAACTCTTAAAAAGTTTCTAAAAAATTTACATCAAATTAAAATTAATTTTTTAAATTAATTAATTACCACAATACTGTAATAGAATAATTTATTTATTTATCGTCGCAGATGCTCAGCTACTAATAACATTATTATTCTAATAAATAAAAATTAATAGCAGTCCTGAAGAGTGGATGAATGAATTGAACACTAAAAATTATAAAACTAGTTTAAAAGTTTATAAAACTCTTTTATTTTATTATTCTCCTTTTCAGTTACAAATTATAGTTTTTAACCTATTTTTAGCTCTAGTATTTTTTATTTTATTTTTATAGTCTATACTCTATACTTCTATAGTATATAGTATAGTCAATACAATAGTGGTAATACATAGTAATGTAGTGTGTCAATCTTAATGAGTAATTGTCTAATTATCAACTAAGAAGTTTCTTAATTTAACTTTTAACTGGCAATAGTTTTTTTTATAAAATAACTTTAAAGTTTAAATTACTCTTGGCTGAAATTTTATTTTTATGTCATGATGAAGAATTGATAAATATATGATAAGCTTGTTTATTTATGTCAAAAAAAGATTACTTTACTTGCTCTAAAAACTAAATAACGCTCACCCATAATTATGTCAACTTCTATTCAATTGGGAAATGAAATGAATGTCAGTACTGAAGTTGTTCCAGCAAATGCAAATGAAGTGCTTAATAATGAAGACTGTGCCACAGATCAGTCGACTACAACTTCAGATGTAACAAACAGCGGTGCCGACCATAATATTGATGATGTTGCAGATTTAGTGCGGAGAAACAGTTTACTTGACATGCCAGAAAGTGAGCATGGTGAGATTTTCTAGCCAGTGCCTGATGAGCTGGGCTATTTGCTCTACATTTTTAGTTCTATTTTCTTTATTAATTTATTTGCTTTATTTGATGAATAAAGTTTTTTTTATATTTCATAGTGTTTTTAAAGTTGAAAAATAGTTTAGTATAATTTATACTCATCTATTAAATTTATATAATCTTTTTCAAGATATTTAATTGAATTATTTTGAATAAAATTTTAATAAAATATAAATAAAAGTTGCTAGAACATTGTTGTTTTACAAACACACACACACATATATTTACAATTTGAAATATTCTTTTATTACTTTAATTTTTTAATAAGATCTTCTGTGATTTTTTGATGTAATTTTAAACTTCATCGACTTAGCTGAAGAAGTTGACAAAGATGCGGGCATTGTACACGAAGAGTCTGCAAAATCTGTAAATAATTCACCTAACAATGAGGAGGTTGTCACAACTACAAATGCTGATGCAATGGTGATCAAAGATCATGAATCAAACACCGTGATTGATCGCAGTCATGAATCAGACTACTCTCTTGTAGGTGACTCCAGCGCAAATGTTGTCACTGAGAATGATCATGTGTCAAACATGAAGACCGATGACAAACTTAAAAACGACATTATGCATGAAACTAGCCATAAATCCAACACGGAGATAGAAAATAAATGCGATGAAAACAATTCACTTGATAGTGGTCATGAATCAAATGTGACAGGTTTAAAAAAACCAAAGACTCCAGATAATCATCTACCTGTTTCTTCCAACGCAGAAGAAATTCCTGCACAACTGAATTCAGAACCTGAACCAGCTGAGCAACCCACTAAGCAGCCATCTTCTCTACCTCCACAGCTGGCACCCTTCACTAATAGCACGACAGACGACCTACAAGGAGCAACGGGAGTTGGACCTGATAACAATGGAGAAGGACGGGAGAGCATTTATAATGTCAAGTGGATCAGATTCAATCAAGTTTCATTACCAATTGTGACCCAGAATGAGAATGGACCGTGTCCTTTGCTTGCCATTATGAACTACTTGTTCCTCCAACAACGTGTCCAACTTGAAACTCGCTCCAACATCATCCCTTCCAGCCAACTCATCTCACTGCTGGCTGACTACATATTCGAACACGTTCCCAACGTTAGCATCAACTTTTCATTCATCTTTATAGTTATTTAAATAAATACAATTTCTTTTTGTAATATGTTCATATAATTTTGCTGAAAATTCATGAGAGATCCTAGAGGTGAAAGACAATATTTCCATGTACAAGGTCATGAAGAATCATAAATTTCATAAAAAATTTATTGACAATTTTATCATGTTATACACCAATTTTGTCTCAATTTAATGTATATATATATTTTTGTGTTTGTGTGTGTGTATATATGTCTGTGTGTGTGTGCGCGCATGCGTGTGTATGTGTGTATACAGATGATATGTGAAAATAGTTTACATTTGCATAAGTTATGCTTTATGCATTCGTTTGAAAATATCCATGATTCCCAAGATCTTGTTTGTTAAAATTTGTAAAAATAAATAATAATGCCTGATAAGCTGGTAAGAACAATTTTCTGAATGCTAATTAGAAGTTGACAGATTTCATAAGATTTGACCATTGATTTGTTTAGGTTTATGGAAAGTAATTCCATTTTCCTGTAAATGTTGTTAGTCGATTAAATTAAATTTGTTTAGTTTGTTTTGTTATTTTTGTAAAACACAACATAAGTATAAAAAATATAAATGATCTTTTTGAAGCGCATCCAGCCGAACACTCGTCTGAACTATGAGCAGAAGATGCATGATGCCATCGCAATGTTTCCCAACTTACAAACAGGTCTTGATGTCAATGTTAGGTTCACTGGGTTAGTTCAGTTTTCATTGCATCAGCAGACCTAAAACGTTGTGTAAACTATTCTTATTTTGAAATGTTTCTGCATTATTACATCAGTAAAAGATTCTTTACTTTGGTTTATGTATAAAAATTTATTTTAATACTAACAAAAGTATTGATAAGGAGCTGGAGTGTTTATGTGTATACAATGTTCACAAATGTTCACAAATTCTAAATGTTCGTAATGGTTTCTTAAATTTTCTCACAACTGCACAAATAACATCTAACTGTTTGTTGTGTATTTAGTAATTCTTAATAGAAAACCTACATAGTGACAATAGTGTTTGGCTGAAAAGTTAGTTTATTGGGAACTATTATAGTTGGTCATGGGGATCGAAATGTCTGCGATATGAAGATGATGTCTGTTGAAGAAATAGCAAGCAGCATTCAAAGAGAGCAGACAGCCATCCATGTTTCCATTACAATATTCAATGTGCTCTGACGTTAACCTGAACACTGATGCATTGACAGTTTTTTTTGTAATATAGAACAACATCTGATTAAATGGTTTGGAGGCCCTGCAGCATTAAAGGAGTTGAGGCTTCTAGTTATTTTCAAAATAAAACAAAAATTTTTTTGTCATAATTTTTCAAAATTTATATTAACAAATAAAATTATCTCAGCAAAAATATACTATTTTCTCAAAGTTTATTTAAAAATAAATGACTACGTTAAAATTGTTTTATTAAGTTTTTTTGACGAAAAGTATTCGTTTCTTTTTTATCTATATTGTGGAGGTCTTGAGGCAATAGTCCTTGCCTGTTCTGTTAAATCTTGCTCTTGTATAAATGCACACTCTTCTGGCTGGGATAGTTATGATAATGGTTGTTCAAATGAAATGCTTGCTCATATATTTGCATTTCGCTTCTTTTAAATTGTTATTTTCGGTTTAACCAGATGGTTAAATGGTGGTATTGATTGTATACATTTGAATAGTCATTTTAGTTGCGTCGTTCTTACATTTCAGTTACTTTAAGTTTCAAAACCTAAAATTTTTCACCAATAATATATTTCAAAATAGCAGCAAAATATTCAGTAGCTGGCAGTAACCTTTTTGTCAGATATAATACTAAAGTCGTACATTTAATTAAAACGCAGCACAAAATTTAAACTCTCACTTTGCTTATGTATGAGCTGATTAATTGTTAATTAATTATTTAATTATAAACAACTGGTGATTTTGAAATGTTCACAAAATTTTGGACAGTGTATCTCATTTTGAGTACACACCTTCGTCCGAGATATTCGATTTGCTTGACATTCCTCTCTACCATGGTTGGCTCGTGGACCCTGAATCAGAAGAAGTGCTCGAAGCAGTGAGCAACGCCACGTACAACCAGCTCGTTGAAATGGTCATCAATCAAAAGTGTTCCAGTCAATTTGATCTTGCAGAAAAAGGTTGATTTAATTGCTTTTCTTCTAATAAAAATTCAACTTGTATTTTCGACATGGGTTGCTTTCTTCACAAATCAATATGTACCTTTTTTTCATTCACTTCGCTAGAATGTTTCTTTATATTGTGTTATATAATATTTTAAAATATACTTGGAACAATTAATATTCGTTTGCAATTTATGATGCAAAATTAGAAGGTTGTATATAATCTAATGTTATTTTTACGTTATCAATCTGGATACATTTATACTTTGATTTGTCATACTTAACTATTTTTCAGTTTATTAATATATTTTGAAAATTTGATGAAATAAATTAGAGATCTTTAATTTGGGAACGTGTGTTTTTCAATTGAAGCATTGATAGCTGAAGAATTTTTGAACGCCACCGCTTCACAACTGACTTACCATGGTCTCTGTGAACTCGCCTCAGCGTTGCGCGATTCAGACATGGGAGTTCTCTTTAGGAACAACCACTTTCATACATTGCTCAAACATGATGTGAGAGTTTTTTATATTTGTTTGCAACTTCATCAACGTTATTTACAATTTTATTTTTTTATCTCAACATTTTCAAGCTATCACTTCAACTATGGAAATTTAAAAATTGTTGTATTTATTTAAAATGATTAAATCACAAGGGGGCGTTATATGTTTTAGCCACTGATCAAGGATTTCTCAATGAACCTCGAGTTGTGTGGGAAACGTTGACCAACGTAGAGGGCGACAGCCACTTCTGTGATGCCAATTTCAGAATTTTCCAATCTCCAAGTGAAACAAAAAATCCAGACCAGATTGATCAAGAGTTTGTAAATTTTTATCACTATTTTTCAGAGCTCATTTTATGTCATCTATGAGTCAGATCAAAATTTTCCGGTTCTGATTCCTTGTTAAAATTTTTCTTATTCCCGACTTTGGCTTTTGACTCCCAAAAAATGGTTTTTTTTCAATTTTAACTTTTCAGTTTCAAAATTTTTTTACTTTGTTAAAATAAGATACGTTATAAAACATTTGATGTCAGTTAGAATAATTATTTGTATTATATGATCTTTTATGACACGATAATTAACTCTTTACAACGTGGATTTGAAAAATCGTGTTTCAAAATATCAAAATTTCAATTTTCAACACTCGTTTTTTATGTCTGATATAAAATTTCCAACTTCTGCAAACACTTCTAACTCCAGCTGTCACACCATGTTTATAGAACTTATTTTATGTCATAAGGCAAATAGAAAATTCTAATTTGTTGTTATTTTGTTGTTCAGTTACTTTGTAGCACTGTCCATGGAGCAGGAGCAGGAAGAAAATTCACAATCTGTTTCAAACTGGACCGATCTTGGATTGACTGAGTTTGTTACTTTGTTCTCATTTAAAAAATTTTTAGGGAATGTTTCATCAGCCATTCACAGATCGCAAAAGTAATATTTTGGCAACAAATTCACATGTAATGGGACTAAAAAATTTCAAAGGTTCGTTTATAAAACATTTAAATGATAAATTTAGTGAAGAGTTGGCTATGAGACTTCAAGAAGAAGAAAATTCTCTGGCGAGCCAAGCAGACAACAGACAGCAACATTCTGCCGGGGCTACAGGAAGCAGTAGAGATCAAGGAACGACACGAAATATTTCAAAAGTCACAACAGATGCTAAACCTAAGAAGGATTCATTAGTTAGCAGGAATTTTTTAATAAATTTTAAAATTAAACTACGTCAAAGAAAGATGTTTCGGAAGGTTATATTTGAAATTCCATCAGCTCAAAAGATCTTTCATTTGTTTTTAATCTTGTTTCAAATCTGAATTGACAATCAAACAAATTTAGAAAAATGTTTTATTGTTTCTGAAATTTTTGTTTTAAGAGATTTTAATTTATAAACGTGTGTAACTTATAAACGTGTAATAATGGGCTGTTTTATTGGTATTTTAGATAGCAGGATTTTTTGAAACAGCTCATTTACTATTCTGAATAATTCAATCTTTATCCTACATTTTAAAATCATCGCTTTATTTCATGACTTATTTTTAAACGCCTTTTTATTAGTCATTAATTATGAGATGACATTCTGGTTAAGGCATTTGGTCCTGGTTTTACAGTGACAGGATTCGAATACATTGATATGTGTGTGCTGCTTGGATTAACGTGCATTTACTAACGATGTGTCATTTAATGGTACCTCTGAGAATTAAATGAGGATTGTTGTTAATGATAATAATAATATTTATCTAATCTTTAAATGTAACAATTTTACAGAGTTTCTTTTAAAAATTACATTAGCTAGTTTTATAAAATGCTGTACAATTGTTCTGCATTACAGTAAGAGGTACCGTTTACTTTAAGACGCAACGTTAATGCAACGAACAATTTCTTATTCCATAATTTGAAACACTTTTGCATTAACAGTAATAAATATTTTCATTTTCAGTGTGAAATCATGTAATGATTTTTGGAGGAAAAGAAGAACATCTAATAAGAAATCCTATTATTGCAAAAAAATTATATCAACAGAAACCAATTGTCATTTATTTATAGATATATGATGGTGAGACTGCCTTTACTGCGAATTTCTTAAAATCATGAACAGTTTTTAATTCACTCCATTATCGTATTTCTTTTTTTTTCAAACAGCTTAATTATATTGTATTTTATTTTCGAAATTACATAGACGTATCATTATTGCTTTCAAACATTTTCTTTGGCAAAGGTTCTCTCTTTCTTTCCGTGTATATATATATATATATATGTGTGTGTGTGTGTGTGTGTGTCACTGTATGTATGTAAAATGATGTTTCTTAACAATTTAATGATATTTCTACGACAGTCTCAACCCTAATTATATAAGTATGTAAATATATATATATACATATATAATTATATATATATATGTGTGTGTGTGTATATATATATTTATATGTGTGTGTATGTGTGTGTGTTTAATTAATATACATAAATGCGTGCGTGCGTGCGTGCGTGCGTGCGTGCGTGCGTGCGTGCGTGCGTGAAGAGATGCGTAGAATTCAAATTACATAGTAGATGGTAACCAGTGAATATGTACTTAGTAACCAAACAACCAGCTACATTCATGCTGGCATACCTTTTGTTCTTATTAACTTTAAGGTGATTTTATTCAAGTTAGTTTTTATGTTGTGATTAATATTTTTGTCAAACTGCATCAATTTGCATTGTATATATGTTTATATATATATATTACGAACAAAAATTATATTAATTTTTGTATAATAATAAATATGAACATTTAAAAATAATTTGTCGTTTTATCGAGCGTTTTTGTTGTGTTGTGCCAGAGCAAAATTGACTGATTGTGATTTCTCGCATTTCTTTTAAAATAAGTTTAGCGGCGCGGACGAATAAGCCTTTTCTCCCCTGACGTCGAACATCATCATTTAAAGTTAAAAATTCTGCCAAAATCTATTCAGCTCAATTATAAAATTTTGACTCTTTGTTCCAAGACTTCTTCGTGTAAACTACTTCAGCCGTTTTACCGTTTAACAATGGAAACTTCGTTATTATTCGGCTTCCGTTCATTCAATGGCTTTTTGTTCTTCTGTTGTCCTACTGTATCCTTTGCATAAACTTTACCGGAAGCGGAAACAAAAGCAATTAATGATGCTGTGCATTCATTATGATTGGAGCAAGGATCTTATTCCTAGAAGTTCATGTTCAGATGTTCGTGAATTCGGGAAAGCAAACGCGTCTATGACAACGCTCTTATCGTTGTCGTTCCTAATTGCAATTTTTATAATTTGGTGTAAGATACTTAGATCTGAAGTTCGCTCTTTCCAATATGAAATCAAATAAAGCGCCAGGTCCATATAATAGTTGTTGAAGAAATTAAATGCCTTGATGAATTTGGCGCTAAAAACGTGGCAGAAATTTTAAATGAGATTTATGACAGCGACAAAGTTCCTGATGATCTATCCAAGTCAATATTTATTGAATTGTCTAAAAATCCTAATGCAACGGAATGTAAACTACATCAAACAATCAGCTTGATGAGTCATCTAACAAAACTTCTTTTGAGAATACTGATGATGAGAGCACGAAGCAAAATCAGTTCTGAAATTTCATATGTTCAATGTGGTTTTTTGGAGAATTGTGGCACAAGAAACACTTTCTTTATGCTACGAATGATCAATGAACGAGCGATTGAAATGAAGAAAGACTTGTTTATATGTTTTGTCAATTACTCTTATGACAATTAACTTATGGGAATATTGGAAAATTTGGACATTGACGGAAAAGAAACGAGAGTTATAAAAAACCTCTATTGGGAACATAGAGAAGCGATGAAAGTTGAAATCAAAATGACTAGTTTTGTCGAAATAAAAAAAGGTGTTAGGCAAGGCTGTGTATTCTCTCCATACCAGTACGATCTCTATAGTGAAATCATCAGGAGAAAAATAGAAGATCTACCCATGGATATCCATGGATCTACCTGGAATTCCATTGGATGCGTGAATATTAACAATATAAAATATGCTGATGATGCAGCTCTTATAGCAGATTCATTAGAAAAACTACAAACAATTGTTTCCAAACTGGTTTTTGAAAGTGAAAGGAAACGCTTGCAAATTAACATCAACAAAACAGAGTGCATGGTTATCACTAAAAACCAAACCGCCTCGATCTGCCCATTAATCATAAATGGTTAACACACATAACTAAAATAAATATAACGGCCTTTGCTCACTTTTAACGGTCGAACAAGGAGCTTACTTTCGGAAGAGATTTGGAGGGTGATTTATTATCGTTCGAGTCAAGAGTCGGGCTATTTGACATGCTTGTATTATTGGCTTACGAAATTGCATGTATTTTAACGAGCAAGCTATATGAAATATTTACTTGACTTAATATGCTTAAAACATTGTAGTAATTCTCTTTAATTTTATCAAATAAAATTATGATTTTATTAAATAAAATTATGTATTATTAAATTATTGTTGTTAATTTGAATATAAAAATTATACTTTTGGTCCTGTGAAATCCGGTGGCTTTTCACTGAAGCCGAAGGTTGGCTTAGTAGGATTGAACTAAAGTCACCCTTTTTTACACTATTCGATCATTTTAAAAATTTGTTTGCTCACGAAATAAACGGCCTAAATAGATCAAAATTGTTATTTGAACAACTATCTTCATTATATTCAATGAATATTTTACATTCT